GCAATTAGACCTAAAGTCTAATACATTAGTTGGTGTAAAAACATGATTTATTATCAGCCAATACAATTACAAACCACTACATTAGCCTATGATGTTTACTAGATTTAGATCTAGGTTTTGCATGTTACATATATTGCCAGTCTTGCACACCAGTTAATATGTTACATCAATCTCGTATTTTCTTTTTGTTTAACATACACTTACTTATATGTTGTACTCTAGGACTTGTATTTGATCTACAGATGAATGATGGAATAGTGTAATTTACTTCTGTACGTCAATTCGGTCTCACTGTATTTCAATGGGTGGCTTTTAAAAGTTAAAACTGCAAGCGTAATACACACAAGTAACGTAACGCTGTGTCGTATTTACTTAACGTAGGGCAGTTGTGCTGTATCCTAGAGGAGGGCATAATTATTAATTAATTAATAGGCATTATAGGCCAGAAGAAATTTTGCACCCCCTTCACACTTGTGCCTGGGGGTGACTGCCCCCCCCTACTACTACACCACTGCACTAATATTATCATAAATATTGACTGCTGATCGACAAAAAAATAATATCCAAATAACTAAAAGAAAAAAAAGTTTTGAAAATTAGTATACATAAAAATTGTGTAAAACTATTTATTGGTATTGTAAAATCAAGCTTGGAGAAGCTAATATGGTGTCACTTTGATAAGAAAGTCAGCTCAACTGTTTGGACTGCTTGTTCCCCTATTTAGTGAGATTCAAAAAAACTTCTTCGATTTAGACGCATGTTAATCTAGTTGCTATATAAAGCAGGACATCCTTTCATAGGCTTAATAAAGATAATTCGAGTGCAGCTTTGATAGTTAGCCAATATTTTTAAACAGGTTTCTTTCAATCTGCCACTAGAAGTATTTCATTCTTTCTGAACTGGAGAAGAGATTGATTCTGAAAGCGAATCATTAAATTATTTGTAGTATGTTTAATTTTTAAAGAAATTCAAAGCTTTGAATGGATAAATCAAGAGGTGTTCATATTTTTTCTATTTTTTTTTCAGCTTTTAACAGTAATAATTTTTTTTGTACAAGTTATCACTGCTACTGTATTATTACTAGCTGACTTTATTAGTGTTATGCATAAGCCAGACAGACCTAGGACAGATGAGAAAAGTGAAATGGAATTTACTAAACTTTTTAATGTTTTTTATTAATGGATATGAAATGTTTTTTGTCATAGCGTCCACAGTTATGAAATAAAATGACCACTACACCCTCTTTAAATTTGATAAATCCTCAGTTGTAACTTAAAGTTTTATATTCATAAAGGATAGAAAACCCTACAGCTTATCTCTTATGGTCATATAAGAATATCATAATGAAACATACATAACCAAGATAAGTGTTTAGAGTGCTGTGAGAAAACATATTAGAATATGTGAGCCCCCTTGTCTCAGCTTTGTAAAATGTTACAATTTTTTTATAAACAAATTTATGCTTTTTGTGACTTAACAAATGTCTGCTTTTTCTGTTCACATTGTAAGTTCCAACTCTTAAAAGTATTATATTTCACCAACCAGGAAGAACTTTTTATTTTATTTTTATAAACAATAGTGCATATTGGTTAACAATCCCTAATATTTTTAGTTCCACTTGACAATTATTGTATTCTTAAATTTTTGTCAGGCATTTTTTTTTACAATATGTTTGTGTATGTAGTTATCCATTTGTTAAAGAATAAATTATCCTTTGCATAACTGATTCATTTCTGACACATTTCGGTGTTGTTTTCTGTAAATTATTTTCTCTTTCTAGGATTGTATGCTTGCCTTACACTTGCTTCTTTTGCATCATATATAAATTAAAGTTTGCTCATAGTGTATTTTTGGTGTAATATATTCTTATCTAGTAACTACATTTCTTCAAGATATTGTTCCTGTCTTATTATCACTTTTGAAATTCAGGGATGTTCTTTTGGATATCATGCTGGAGGCTGGGGAAAACCACCTGTAGATGAAGCGGGAAAACCTCTGTATGGAGATGCATTTGGTACACTCTCAGGTGACCTACATGTAAGTTCTAAACTTCTGAATACCAAGGTACTTGGATAAAGTTAATCTGAAACATAGAAATTTCAAACATGTGGCTTGATAACCTTGGAACCTTTTAAAATGTAAATTAAAATTTTTGGCCAAGTTATGATTTATAATACAATAAAAAATATAGCTGTTTACTATACTGTTATGTATGACACACTTAACTGTTGACCTGAAAACCAGTTTTAAATACATATACCAAAGTAAGCCTAATGATGTTATGCACTTGGCTACTTTGTTGAAAGAAATGGTGCAATATGATTTTAGTAGTTGAAAGTACTAAAGTGAGTATAAATAGATTGTTGTATTCTCACTCTGTTTTATATATAAAGTGTACCATTGTCCTCCTAAGACCTTCTTACATTAATTTATATAAATGTGTTTAAAAAAATGTAACGTCTTTTTTTCCTTTACCCGAAAGCAAGTATGATCTTGATGTTGATCAACTTAATGATGGCCTTGTATTACAGAATTTGTGTTCTTGTAAAAAAAAATTAGCTACCAAGACAATTACTTCAGTAAAATGAACAAATACAGAGGAAAACTAATTCAATTAACTCTTTCGATTAAAGGATAAATATGAAAAACAAGAAATAAAGTACTATCCAATCTTCTTTTTTCTTACCCTCGATTGTTGAGAGTTAAGCCTGATTTTTTTTTAACAATTTTTATTTAATCAAATAATACACCAAAGAATATAGACTAATAATATGCAAAAAGTAGACAAATTCACTTAATTCTAAAAACTTTCCTGGCTTTCTAACTATGTGACAAGAGCCATTAGAAATTCATCCAAGCTAGTTGTTAACTTTCCCACGGGAACAATGTTGCTACCCAGAGTGACATTGATGGTTATCTGTTCAAAACACAATGTTACACAATATGCCATTTGATAGAAGAAAACCTTGACTTTCTATTGGTTATAAATAATATATAATGAAACATTAGAAAGAACTATCAACCAATTGTGAAAAAGAGGATGTGGCAGGAGGGGTCTGATTTACTTTTTGATAGCTCTGTAACAAAACAAAATTGAAGGCCATAAACATTATGGTCTGTTTGAGCAATAATGATTTTATAGAGACCATTTTACATTTAATTTCGTACAGTTTCAAGGGGTAATGGATAAAATAGGGATGATGACACACTAAGACAAAATTTGTCATATATGTTACACTAGTGGAAATTTAGGATTTTTTTATATATTTCCTTTTAGAGTTAAGAACTTAAAACTTGTATACTATTAAAATATGGATTATTAGCTAAAATTTTATGCTATTCTAATTGGTATGACAAACAAAAAGTAGTTTAATAAAATTTTGAATGTAAGACACAAAACCTTGTGTCATACACAGTAAAGGGTACCTGTGCCGATATGGTTAATCTATTACTTTTCTGTGGCTCACAAATAATAGAAAAACAATACTGTTTTACAAGACAATCTCAATAAACCTCAAGGTGTCTTTCAAGCTAGTGTAAGTATTCAATGAAAGAATGGAGCTGTATGACAAATAGATTGCAAGAAAGAAAATAATCCCAGGTTTCAGAAGATATATTTATGACTTAATTAGCTTGAGAAACTTAAAACTGATAAAACATGCAAATAGTTGAATTTTGCAGTTCTTAACATTACCAACTTCAAAAACTCTGTTTTAATACGATTTGAACTAAAACATACACCTCAAATGAATGCAAAATTACCAGGTTTTCAATCTTTATTTTCATCCACTGACAAATTTTATCTGTGTAGATGGGAAAATTAACAATTTCCACCTTCTCAATAATAATTACAACAGACAGTAAAAATCGAAAATTAGGGCTAGCAGTTTCTTTTTAATTACTTTATCTAAAATAAGTTTTATTAAAATTTACGTGAAAAGGTAATATAAAATTTCAACATTTTAATCATCATTTTATTTTGGAGATAATTTGAGGAAATAGATCACAAATATTTTCCAAACCTTGATATCCTGAGTGACCAGATAGGGAAGGGTTTGTGATTATTACCCCAGCAAAATGTACTATCCCTGTATATATGTAACCTTTTTTTTTAATACTTGTATTTGTTTATTTATCTCATAAATTCTGTATCAGAAGAACATGCTAAAACATTTGTTATGAAATAGAATATTTACAAGTGATTATCATAACTTTGATAGTTAACTGTAAATAGCATCCATCCAGAAATATGATATAAGTTTTATAAGTCTTTTGCTGATTTTCATGCAGCAGTGGCCAAAATTAGTGAGAACTTTTAACAAAAGGCACCAATAAGAATTTATGTCCATCAGTCCATGTATTTTGAGGACCTAAAAATTTACACCATATGTGACATCTCAGATACTGTTTTAAAGTGTTAGGTCTTTCAGATTTATTTCTACAACTAACTGCATAAAGAGAAAACAAAACTTTTATAAATTTAATTGCAACAAAAACTTGTGTGTTCATATAATATCTTATATGATAATGGCCAATAAAGGTTAAAATTTTATATAAAATTGATATACATGGTTTCAGATCTCTGGTACTGTTAAGTAACAAACTTTAAAGGCTGAGATTTTCCTGTGATATTTAAAAATTGCAACTTTTTTCTCATGTGCGGTTATGGTAAACTAATGATAAAGCAAAAGACGTATGGCAGTAAACATTATTTTTTTATCTATTGCTTTGGAATCTACTAACCATAGTTATACATTATTTGACAGCTAATGACAAGATTAACTGTTTAAATGCAAATGAAATATTGAAAGTCATAGGGTTCTCTTCAAGTTTTCCACCAGGTTTATCTTCATTTAATGAAATTATTTTCCAAAAAATTGCCTCATGTACTTAGGTGCACACATCCTGACATTTGACCCAAATTTGAAAGAAAAAAGAATAAAATTCAAAGTGACCAAGTTTATCTACTTTTAGATTTTAAAATTTAATCAGTTAAATAAAATGTAATCAGTTTATTGCTAAGCATAATAAATTGAAATAAATACATGGGTTCAGATTTTTTGGCACAATCTACTTATGCTTATCACATAATTTGGAACATCAGTTTCTTAACAAACTAACTACAAGGTTAAAACTGGGTTTTGGTCAGATCTGTGTGGCTTATTTGTAATTTTACTGTTTACTTAATGTATTTCCTAGTAAAAAAAAAGTTTAAAATACAATTCATTGTTTTTGTGATTCTATTACCAAGCTATTTGTTTAATGTGGATTCACTGCATTACCTACATTTAAGGATAAGAAGGAACAGGGGTAACTGATAAACAGCTAAGAAATAAATATAAAGTGAGCAAAATAAGTTTTTAACTAGTAATATCTATGTAATTTGGAACATTCATTTTGGCTATTTTGTTTTTATAACGAGAAAAGTTCAATGTTATTTTATAAATATAGATTTTTTTTATGTACAGATTAGATGAAGATTAGTTTGAGTTTTAAGAGTTTTGAAAAGACAGAAAGAAAAAGGAGACAAAAGTTATTGATATATAGTATTTATAAAGGTAATTTATAAATTTATAACTGAAATTATGCTATACTTCAGCCATCTGCTGTAGAAGAAGAAATAGACAAGAGCTTATGGGGTGAACTAGAGTCTGAATCTGAGGAAGAATCTGAAGAGGAGTCTGAGGAAGAAGAAGCTGAACCAACTGCAGATGAGTCAGGTCTTGTGACTCCGGCTGAAGGTTTAGTGACTCCTAGTGGAATAAGCTCCATTCCTGCTGGCATGGAAACACCAGACATGATAGAACTTAGAAAACGAAAGATTGAGGCAGAAATGGAAGGGTCTGTAATAAAACTTCTGTTTAACTTTTGTTGGTTGTTAAAGTTTTTATCATGTTACTGTATTTAAGATTTACTGCAGTCAAAGTAGCAGAGGATTAGGTTAACTTTTACTGTTTACTTAATGTATTTCCAAATAGAAAGAGAGTGAAAATGAAGCTAGTATGATAGCATCCATTCTGAAAGCCTTAGAAATAAATATTATGTTTAAAAAAATGCAAAGTACCTTCATTATATATACTGTAGAATAAATGTATTTAATTGTTCTCAATTCTCCACAAGAAAATATCATATTGTATTTATTAACATTGTGTTATAATTGAAATTAAATTGTCATATTTACATAATAGGTTTCTGGGAAGAAATGGTTTAATAAAATGTTTCTTTAGAATATTTCATGTGTTTTTAACAAAAATAGTAAAAATGTAATGATTTGCACTTTGATAGTTGTTGCTTCAAGATCTTAGAGATTAATCAGGTATTGTTGTCATTATTCCGAACTTGCAAAAATGGTGATTTTTCAACAGCATATTTATTAGAAATGTTTTTGAATATACGGTAGACCTTATGGATAGTTTAAAATTACTTAAACATGTACAGATTTTAATATGAAAATTAAATACTAATAATACCTAAAACAAAAAATATAAGTAATACTGCTCTACTGTGAAAAGTGTGCCAACTCTTTAATGTTTTGTTCCTCCTCCCCCAAAGAAATGTATTCTGATTTTACACTTTAGTAAGAAAACATATCAAGTAGAAACCTTACTCAGTTTTTATATAATCAATATCTAGGTATTCTTTCTTTCATTAAGCCAAGGTGTGATACTTAAAATCTTACTTGTTAACAATAAGCAGTCAAAAATTCAACAAATTGTATTTTCCTAATTTTATTCTTGTGTCCAGTTTGATTTGCCAGTATCTGGGAGTTGGAGCTAAAGTACCTACCATTGTATTTAGACACTTGTATCTCTATCAGAGCAGAGATAGAATTAATACTGGTCATTTTGCTCACCTGACTGAAATCTACACAGAATCTTGGCATACTCTCCTCTGCTCACCTGACTGAAATCTACACAGTACCTTGGCATATTCTCTCTGCTCACCTGACTGAAATCTACACAGAATCTTGGCGTACTCTCCTTTGCTCACCAGACTGAAATCTACACAGAACTTTGGCATACCCTCCTTTTCCCATACAGTTACTACTGTAGACAACCAAGCACTCTCTGAAGAGGTTGTATGATTCTGTCCTTGACTATCTGCATTATCTTAGGCTATATCTCTAGTGCTCTAAGGAAGTCTGCACAATAGTAGTTTTATCAGACATGCATAACATATCTATTTGGTGGTGAGTAACTGTTTTCTAATATCAACAACTCTGTCATCCCACAAACACATCAGCATATTCAGCCAGTAATTTCCTTAGTTTATGTCATTGTGTTGGATCCACATTATTTGCAGAATCGTCAAACAGTGATCTCAAATGTTTTAGCAGCTGTTGCAACAGAAGCAATGCTAGCTTTACAGCTAGTGTCAGCCTCTTCTTCACCGATAATGCTAATGACAATTCCAGCAAGGAGCTAAATAGCCAGATGTTGATAATTTCAGATCAGTGCTGGAACTGTGCCACTATGTGTTGTTATTTTCATTACCATATTTTATGGTGAATCCACTGACTCAGGAAGAGAAAATACGAATTGCTAAAGAAATTATCATAAAATTCCACGGAACATCAGTTCTCGTACAATTCTCTTGGATATTCAGAAATGTCTCTTTCATTTTTACTGTCATATATCTCTATTTAGTTTTTCTGGATTCCTGACCACATCAGAATCTGAGGGAACAAGCTTGTTTGACACTAAGACCATATCGGCCTCCACTGGTGATATCAATACTCTGCCTAGTCCTCATATAGATTACCAGCCTGTAAACAAAGCAAATCTTGAAAGAATGCCAGTTGGCTGGTGATTTGGAGTGAACAATAACAAGAAAACAAGTTTTCTCAATTAAAATCTACTATTGAAAATATGACATGTTGTTTCTGTAGGAATCATTGGAGAGAAGCTGTCCTTGTAAAACTCTGCATTGGCCATAGTTTTATTGCACATAATATTCTCTCACAAGGTAACGATCCTCTAGTGTTTCGGTTTTGTGACACTGAAATTACAATAGCCCACCTTTTATTTTATGCTATTGCTGTGGCATTCAGCAGTGGCACTGTTTTAGACATGTTTTTGCTCTTTATCCTATTGACATTGGACAAATGCTGTCCAGGTTGACCATGTTTTTATGTTTTTTACTGGCCATTGGCCTTTAAATTTTATTTGCTTTTTTATCTTTTTCTCACAAAAACATTTAATTACTGCTTTTAATTTATACTCTAACATGTTTTTTTATTTTGTGTAGTTGATATAAAAAAAGTTTGGTGCAGATAGTCTGAGATGCTTTATGCTGATATACCCTTAAAAGCAAAAGCTTTTAAACTTTTTTTAATGTTGTATTCCTGTTTTCAGAGGTGAAACCCCAGCTCTATACACAGTCCTTCCAGAGAAGAAAGGAGAGAAATTGGGAGCAGCCATGATGGGTTCAACCCATGTATATGACGTAGCTGCAGTAAGTGTGGGTTATGGGTTCTGTTTTGAGAAGTACCTTAAGATTATGCTTTTTATTGCAGTGATTATTTAAACTTTGATGATGTGTTTATCTATTGATGTTTGAAGTATGTTCACTTCAAAGTTACACAAATATATATGTAGCATCATGTTCATTGCTGAGTGGAGTTGTTTTTGTCTTAGTACTACACATACTTGTACCTAGTTTTGAAGGAAGTTTCTTCTCATAGTCATTTAGCAAGATTAATCTCGTATCTGATGTATAAAGGTTTTACAAATAATGCACATGTAAAGTTTCTTCATACAGACAATATACATGTTTAGGTCTGTGCTTATTGGTAGCTTTAATTCTTATAAACACTGTGTGATCATGTTTTTTGTTTCAAAAACAGTAATGTTTAGTTCTGGTCTGTTTATAAATTCATTTTCTTATCACAAAGGTACACCAGTTCTTGAGGGAGATTGAAAGTTTTTTTCTTTTAATTAATATATCTGGCTTTGTTTTTTTTCGTTATCAATTTGCTCAAATTCTACATAACATTGTTTTATGGGGGTATTTTTTCTATCAAAATCTTGAATGATGCTTTTTGAACTTATACTACTCACAGATATCACAGACCAGTTCAAGCTAATAACTAGGGGTTACTAATTTCAAGCAGCACACAACACGCAGGGTTTAGTTGATCATACACTTGTATTTTTTGTTACGCCTATGTTGTGTTAGTAGAGGGTAATGTGACTTAAATTATTATTAGTCTTAATTTTGAATTTTTTATTTCTTAATGTTATTATATTCAGGTTTGTGATGGAAAAAGTATAAAGGTAAGTTAAATCATTTCCTACATTGTGGAAATGTTTAGAAGAGAGCTTGCTCACCTTTTTTAACTCTTTTTCAGCACGTGCTCGGGCCCTTGGACCGACCTCTTAACCATTTTGTGCTTGTTATAGTTTTCATGCTATAACTTTTAAATTAGT